AAGAAGAAGAATTAATTCCTTCCTTCTCTGGGCTCCTGCAGCCTTTTGTCTATCTCCCTGACTGCTTGTGTTACTTAGTTCATGGACATGAGCTATTCATTTGCAGCTCTTGTGTCTCATCTGCTCCGGGGAGTGTCTCTTTCTCCCCCCTCAGCCTCCCTGACTTCCTAATTTACATGTTGAGCGAGTTAACAGAAAACAACCCCATTCACAAACATAACAACTAACATGTATATTGATTAAACAAAGAGTACGGCTTCTGCTCTGCTTCCCTTGATTGTTGTTTGTCCTTCCATCTTTGGCCATCATGCCTGGGTAGGGAGCCAGTGGCTCACCTTTTTTGTTGTGTCTGGTTCTACCATGGTGTAGTGAGGACCCTCATCCCTTTCATGTCCTCAGGTAGAATTTCTCCCCTAGATCCTGGAATGGTTATGGGGGCAAGTTTTAAGACTTATATCACTGCCCTAGAGTACTTCAGCTGGTCAATTCTCAACCTATGAGGCTCCGAAAACTTGGCCTGCTTCTCTGTGCTACTGGAGTTTTCCAGCCACTTCTAAGGAGATTTCGGAAAACTTTGTCAACTCAAGAATGTTTTGGGGGGTGGATCTGAATCCCACTTCACAAACTCAAGGATGCAAGAAATAAAATGTCATCTGTATTTTGAGTCTACCTTTTTAAGGTAGAACTTCATGCCCATAAATTTAGGTATTCCCCCTAAGTGCTGTTTACTTTTAGGTTTCAGAGGGTCTTATAAAATGTTGAGGCATAATGAATGGGGAGGCCATCTGGGTACTCATCCTTGGCTCACATCATTGTTCCATGCCGACGTTTGTGTTTGAGTCCTGTGCATTGCCCTGGAGTATCCTTTGTTCTAATTTATAAGAACCCTCAGGTTCATTAGTGCTCTCCTCTATCCTCATTAGACCCTTGAGAGCATATAATGGACCACGGCTAACGGAAAGGTGGTCTCAAGTCCATCTCCAAGACATTCATGCAGCCCTTCCTTGCCACTATTATCCCTTTAGTGGAGTATGGAATCATTCAGCTGCTCCTGCACTAGTGGAAGCCCAAGGAACACTCTGAGGCCATTTGAGGCACCATCGTCTTAAATATATCTTGCAGCCACTCTTCCCTAGGGTCTGGCCTCCTTCCGAGGCTCTGTCTGGGCATGGGGCATATATCTACTGCTTTCAGATTCCTCAGGTTATCTGGGGGTTGCTGTGTCTCAGGGGTCTCTTCCAAAATCAATCCACACATTCCTCATTTCATCTCTACCCTTTGACCTCCCTTCTCCCACTTCTTAGTCTGGAGAATGATCTTCAATTCTAGGAGACTTCTTACTCATCATGTGATCTTCTAAATCAATGCCTATTTTTTAATTCTCCAAAGGATATAGGCTTTGAAAATTAAAAGTATAAACTCACTCCTACTTCTTTGCTATTTGTTCTCATACCCTTTCCCTGAAGTAACAACTACAGAAAGATTCAGATGGGAGGGGAGCAGTGAGAAGAGCTAATATTGGAGAAAAAAGTTAGATAATATTTACAATTTTATCGTGCCACATGATATCACATGCACATGCAAGAGTCATCCCATACTGAATAGGGTCTACCCTACCCTAGCCCTGTAGGTGCTCGGACAGTGAGAAGTGTTATTAACAATAGTAATAGTAAGAGTGGTTGGTGACAGATTACTGTCGGAGTGTCTCTGTTTTCAAATTTTGAAATAATCTTGGCATTTTCTGGAAGGTAACTATTTTTCATTCTCTAATTTATCAGTGCAATTCCAAACATGAGCCCGACTTTATTTTAGCATCTGTTTGACCCTATCTTACTCCTATCTGCTTACCTGTCTTTCCCATTTAAACTGTCCCTTCTTGAGTCAACCCTTCTGCTTCCCCTACAGCATTGTGAGCAATGCTGGTAATTGTTCAGAACTTCCGTTAGTGTGAATGATGGTAAGCTGACGTGGCAGAGGTATTTTGGGAAAAGCACGGACAAACTGAGTCGAGGCTGCATGCACCCAGAGCATGCAGTGCATAAAGGATACCTGAGGTGGACCCTGTGTAAAATGAACAATCTTCTCTAATCTGTCTTGTAATGACAATTCACCTGTTTTACAGCTTTCCTGTAGTCGAAGAAACTCATATATACTTTGTCTTAAGTATTCAGAAATCTTCATTTAACTTTAAAAAAATAGTCCAGAAAGTAACACAGCCAAGCCTGGGATTGCTTTGTTCGCATTCATTATTTCATGCCTATCAAGCTTCTTGTTCTGTGAGAAATGGAATGGATCCTGTGTGTTCTCTGTTAATTGATAACAATATTGACAAGGATTTGTGTGTAAACGCTAGAAATCTTAGTGAATGCAGTGATTCTTAGCTGTGTCCTGGAAGAAATCAATATTCCCCAAGAAAGCTGACATTTTACCATGAAACTCAAATAATGATTGCTGTTTCCCTATTCGCCAAAAACCTTAATTTAATGGTTCAAAGTCTGCGTGTGTGTGAATTTATTTCATAGCACACACATTTATTCATAGCAAGCACACTATTAGTTTTAACTTTTTCAGCAAATTTGGGCAATTGATGGATATAGAAAATGAATTATTTTATTAACATTTATTTGCTGCTTATTTTGCCAAAAACAAATATTAATGAAATTTCTGGAGTAGCTTTTCATGGTTAGATTAATTGCCTGTTGTTTCTGTTTTTCATGAACATGGTCAATATAAATGCAGTGTTTTCCTAGTCTTTTCATGGCTGGGCATACATATACAATAATAATATCTTATATGGGACACTGGGGTAAGGTGCTCTCATGAGCTTGGCTCCCCAGGGGTGAGGGGATCAGAATTACAGCACACCAGTGTGCCCCAGGCCCTTACTGGGAAGCTGTATTATGCTGTATCAAAGACTTTTTATAGTCCTGATTTCTGCTACTAGTAACATTGTTTCCTTGACCTTATGATGGCATTCCCTATTTCACTAATCATCAGTGTTCTATTTCATATTTTCCAGAAGGGCACTGTTACTCTCTACCCTAGGTTGGAGAGCCACTAGGAGATATAGTATCTAAATTCATGCCCCTGTGCCAGGAAAGTTTCCAGTCATTCTTTAACACTCGTGAGCCTCTCTTTTGGACTAGTTCCTGGCTGCCTGATGGATTCCAGTTCTCTGGGTTTGAAACATGACCATTAAGCCTTACAGGGAGGTCAGTTTTATAAGTGTATGCAACAGGAGGACCTTGTATAAGATGTGGAAAGAGGGGAGTACACTCTATAGGGTCTTTGCTGGGTAGATGACTTGGGTCTCTTCTCTCCTTGTTCCTTCTCCAACCAGATAACTTCCTGCAGTCACTTAATGCAGAGCTCAGTGCCCTTGGGTTCAAAGAGGAAGTGATGGCAGAGTGTTTATTCCTTGCACATTTCTATAAAGCTCCTGGTAATGTCTGAGGTGTTCTACTTCTCAACACTGGGGCCAGAGTTCCTGTGCTCCTGGCCTCTCATACACTCATTTCTTTCCTCACTCTCAAAACAACAGACATGCTGTAGTTAAGTAGATAAGCTATAAAACACTTTAAAAATACTTAGAGTAAATATGAAACTTCCATATATTTTATTTGCATCTAAATAAAGTGTTCTTCCTCTATTCTTAGTGTGTTATTAGAACTGTGATGTGCTGATTGAGAGGGGGAAATAAAGGACTAAAACCTAAAATTCACAAGTCCCAGAATTACCACTTAGCCAGCTCAATGCTCACGTTTGTTTAATTTCTAAGTCTTCTTGATAAAATGGGAATGATGGGACCTGTCCAATGTCCCTCTCTGAGCTGATCCAAAAAATACAGTCTCCTGTAGGAAAATACTTTGCAAACGCTTTGCAAACAAATCCAATTTGTTATTGGATTGAAAGTGGCCAGTGAGTCCTAAAGAGTATTGGCAAATGCTTGTAATAATTTAGACACCAGGAGTTGGTGAGGGTATGACAAAGCTGACTCATGTTCTCTCTCTGTGTTCCTTCCCTCGCCCTGCAGAGCAACCTGATACACTCCCTGGGCCTGAGCCATCACCTGCTTGCACTGAATTTTATCATCATTTCTTTTGGCAAGAAAAGCGCGTGGTCATCAGCTCAGGTGAAGGTGACCGACACTGACTTTGACGGGGTGGAAGTCAGAGTGTTTGAGGGCTCCCCGAAGCCAGAAGAGCCTTTGAAACGCGGCATTATCTACATCCACGGAGGAGGCTGGGCTTTGGCCAGTCCAAGTATGTCCTAGTCACCTCCGGGGTTCTGGGGACTGTGGTTGCTCTGAGAGAGATGTGCGATTGAGCTTGACTTCCTTGTTGGGGAAGGAGAGGAGGACCGTTTGATTTGGTTCCCTTGAATAGTCTCAGTTACTGCTATTATCCTAGCAGAATTATTCACAGGGTCTCCTTTTCACACTTGAAAAGGTTCTGTCTTGGATGATTAACTGTATGATTTCCCTACATAAAACTTTTGCCCATTTGTTTATTGCTTGTTAATTTGGGCAGACTTTTTTGAAAATAGGTCCTGTGACCTGAATCATAGGCTAACTTAAGAGAATTGCTGACAGTAGCTTTTGGCACCAAAACAAGTCAAAGTTTCACTGGAACAGAATATGAGGAAATGATCTGCAGCTCTTTTGCTGACTTGTGTTTTGAAGACAATTTTCTATGAAGTAGGACCAGTATTTCAGAATATCCATGTTAACTCATCCGCATTTTACCTGCTTATGAAACCAAATATGAAAATATAAAAGGTATACCAGCATTAAAAGGAAACAATGTTGCAAAATTCAAGAATGTTCTCTTTGGTGTTTGATCCTTTCATGAGCAGAACACATTGAAAATGGCAGGCAGCCAAGTGGAACAGCCTAGCAGAAAGCATACCAAGGAGGTATAGTGTAATTATCACGGAGCTACTTTCTCATCTTCAGCCCAAAGCTACTGGCATCCCCTATGATTTCTGTTTTTTGTTTTTGGGGTTTTTTAAAGTTTTATTCATTTGAGTATACTACACGGGGGCTCGAACTCATGAACCAAGATCAAGAGTCCATTCTCTTCCAACTGAGCCAGCCAGGTACCCTGGCATCCCCTAGGCTTAAAGGTAATGACAACTTGTTTGAGCTTGTTTGGGGGTTTTGTTTATTTGTTTGTTTGTTTTCATATAGACTCCACACCCAATGTGGAGCCTGATGCAGGGCTTGAACTCACCACCCTGAGATCAAGACCTGAGCTGAAATCAATCAAGTGACTGAGCCACTTTTTCTGTGTTTTTATAAATAGTATTTTTTTTAATGTGGCAAAGGCCAAAAAAGCTTAACTTTTTCTAGTAATCCCATTTCATATTCATTATTTATTCTTTTATTTGTGGTTTGGTTCATGTTTTCAACAGATGTTTATGGAGTATGTAGGTTTGTCCAGGACTGAGGGGTTTCCTGGGGTTCAGGACTTCCAATATTCGAACAGTTATGTGCAAACCTGTATCTGTGGTTATCCTAGTGTGTGCTAGGGGATGAGGATACAGAAGTGAATAACAGAAATGATTGCATCTATAGTATTGGACACTTGCCAAGTACAACATCCCACTAGAGGCCAAGAAGTGTAAGTACCAGGAATCACATGGATTACAAATCCACCTGGCCTCGTCTGCATGATTTTGACTGATCACTTCTGCCAGAGGAAGAGCTCAGGCTGGAGATGCTATGCACGTGGTTATGTAGTTATTACAATTGTATTTGTCACTGCATGTCTTTGAATCCTCTTTCTAAGAAATGCTAAGACTTCCCAAAATTCTAGTTTTTATGTGTTGGCTTAAACAGAATATGCTGTTCTTCAAATTGGAAGAATGCAATTGAATTGCAGCAAATGAAAGTATTAAAACAAAAATTTTGTGGTTCCAAGGAGAAAACTGTTTATTTGCTGTGATTTTTGGAAAGGTGTACACTGAAAGAGCTATAAAATTGGAATTAATTTGGTGTCTTTCATATAGTTTCTTATGAAATAAATGTCTAGTTACTTAAAAACACATTCAAAGGTAATCTAATGTGGATTTCCTGTTATTTTATACCAATTACATTTTATCAGAAACCAGATTTTGTATTTGCTTCTGTATATGTAACCCTATAAATGAGACATAGGTTCACATTTGCTTTTTATTATTTTTATTATGAATAACTTAAGTCCAAGTCTAAAAGCAATCCACAATGAGCAGAATTTAAAAATGGACATTATTAAATAAGTTGTTTAATACTGATTGTTCCTTTGTCTCTTTTAGAAATCCGGTATTATGATGAGCTCTGTACAGCAATGGCTGAAGAATTGAATGCTGTCATTGTCTCCATTGAGTAAGTTAATAATCCTAATCATAGAGGGGCACCTGGGTGGCTCAGTGGGTTGAGTGTGCTGGGCGTGGAACCTGCTTAAGATCTCTCTCCCTCTTCTCCCACACCCGTCTACCGATTCCCCCACTACCCCACCGCACCACTACCCGCCTCCCCGTGCTTACTCTTTCTCAAAAAGAAATACGGGATGCCTGAGTGGTTCGGTCAGTTAAGCGTCTGCCTTTGGCTCCTGTCATGATTTCAGGGTCCTGAGATGGAGTCCTGAGTCTGGCTCCTTGCTCAGTGGGGAGGCTGCTTCTCCCTCTGCCCCTCCCCCTGCTCATGCTCTCTCACTCTCTCATATAATGATTCTGATACAACTTGCAATTTATTTTTAAAATTTTTAAATTTTTATTATTTTTTTTAAAGACTTTATTTATTTATTTGACAGAGAGAGATCTCAAGTAGGCAGAGAGGCAGGCAGAGAGAAAGAGAGGAGGAAGCAGGATCCCCGCTGAGCAGAAAGCCCTATACAGGGCTCGATCCCAGGACTCTGAGATCATGACCTGAGCCTAAGGCAGAGGCTTTAACCCACTGAGCCACCCAGGCGCCCCCAACTTGCAATTTCTTGAACTAGCTTTCTGACACCTTGAATTATCTTTTTATCTTAGTTTTAAAAATTTCTGGAAAAGGAATTAACTGAAACAGAAAAATATGCAGTTATCTACAGCAACTAATTTTGTTTACTGCCTTTTAAAATTAAAAAACCGGGCACCTGGGTGGGGAGGGGCTCAGTCATTAAGTGTCTGCCTTCATCTGGGGTCGTGATCCCAGGGTCCTGTGATGGAGCCCCTCATCAGGCTCCCTGCTCTTCAGAAGGATCAGGCTCCCTGCTCAGTGGAAGCCTACTTCTCCCTCTCCCACTTCCCCTGCTTGTATTTCCTCTCTCACTGTCTCTCTTTCTCTCTGTCAAATAAATAAATTCTTTAAAAAATAAAAAAATTTTGGGGCGCCTGAGTGGCTCAGTGGGTTAAGCCTCTGCCTTCGGCTCAGGTCATGATCTCAGGGTCCTGAGATCGAGCCCTGCATCAGGCTCTCTGTTCAGCAGTGAGCCTGCTTCCTCCTCTCTCTGCCTGCCTCTCTACCTACTTGTGATCTCTCTCTCTCTCTCTGTCAAATAAAGAAATAAAATCTAAAAATAAATAAATAAATAAATAAATAATTAAAAATTTTTAAAAATAAGTAAAATTTAAAAACCAACCCAGAGTTAGAAAAGTCATTCCCCTAGAGTTCCGTTCTATAACTCAGACCTTGTAAATAGAGTGTGTTTAACAAATCTCAGTCATCATTACTAATGGTATTAAGAAGAATATGAGTAAAAATTACTACAGTGGTGGTGATGTCAGAAATACAAAATCCTGCTGCCTCTTCCGTGGCAGGCATTGTGCGGATGCTGGTACAATACATTGTCTCTCCTCCTTCAGATCCTAATTCAAATATCATCTTCCTGTTTCATTTTTCTTCAAAACTGTCCTCAACCTCTGACAGACCATATATTTGACTTATTACGTATTTATGGTACTGGGTTGAAATAGACAAAGTAAGTTCCACAGAAACAGAAATTTTCGGGATTTTGGCCTGTTTTGTTCATTGTTAATCACTGGCACCTGGGAACATCCCTGGCAGATAGTGAGCGTTCAACCAGTATTTATGGAACGAATGAATAGGAATCTTTCTTAATTCTCATATCAACCTTTCAAGATAAATGTTTTGATATTTTTCTCTTAGAGGAGGAAATGAGGTCACAAAGCTAGCCAGTTATATAACTAGAGTGAGGCATTAAGCCCATGTCCTGAGGCCCCTATACTTTTTTGACCCAGTGTCCAGCCAGTACTGAAGGACGCTGATAATGCCAAGTATCCACGCTGGAGCTTAACTGGCTCTCCTCTTCCCACTGCGTCCTCTCTGCCCGCTGTTCTTCTGCTCATGGCTCATCCTGTCTGTGCCCCTGCTTCAGGCTGGAGATGTAAGGGAATCCTTTCTTCTGTAGTCTCTCGGAAGGGCTGGTCTCCCAAGTCATCTGGGCAGCGGTGACCCTTGAACGAAAGACTTAGAGTCACACAGAGCAGGGCTGCAGCAGCCTCCTGAGCAGATTTGCCTCCCAGACAGCTCTGGACAGCTCCTGGCCGGCCCTGGCCTCTCCACTGGCCTCCCAGATCGCCAAAGGGCCCGCGGTGCAGTTTTGTAACGCAGGAAACTTCAACCAGAAGGCCGGCATCTAGACTGGGCAGCCGGCCAGGACAGCAGGGTCTGCTGAAGTAGCTGGGCTCCATTGTGGAGCAAGGTCCCACAGCTCAGAGCTGTGGAACCAGCCTCCAAGACCTTCCAGTTGTTTCCTGCGTGGTTGCGGCTTCTCACAGGCCTGAGGACAGGAAGGACACTGTGCTGGCTTTACTTGGCACCTTGGGGAGTCTCCATACGGGCCTTACCATCCCGGGCTTCAATGTAAGCAGTGGGCAGCGTGTCTAAATTCTTCCTGTATGCCTGTCTCCACCTTGAGCATCTGTCTCAAGTAAAATAGGTGTTAAGACTAGGCTTCTCACACAACATGTAAGGATGGATAGGATGATTTTAAGAAGATTTCTTTTAAATATGGAAGGGACTGCTTTCGTCTTAACTTTCCATTCTGCCCCATCTCTGTGGTATGGTACCCCTAAGTTTATCACTGGGACATATCACCGTGGTAGGCAAGTACCATTTCCCAAGACCACCTGACCTCAGCCACATCATTTAATGTCATGTGCTAACTGGACTGAGGAGTCTGCCCTGTGTGTCTAGAATGTGAGCTATTGGGAAGAGGAATCCTGTCTTCTGTCCTCCAGTTCCCATCACCCAATACAAGACTTAGAAGAAGTATGCTAAGTAAACATACTTTGAGTTAGGTTAAGGACTGCTGAGAACTGTCATGAGAGTCAGTCTGGACAGTTGAGCTAAAAGGGCTTCAGATACGCTAAAGCACTAGACAGTTTGGGAGGATTAGTACTCTAGCCCATAGAACTGGATGGTCCAACTGACAAATTTATTTATCAACATGTGTGTAGAGCTCACAGCACTCGTCTTTGCAGAAATCAAGAGCTAAGGTGGTTAGAATCCAGGCAAGTGGAGGGGGAGAGGAACCATGAAAGACTGTGAACACTGAGAAACAAACTGAGGGTTTTGGAGGGGCGGGGGGTGCGGGGGTTGGTAAGCCTCGGGATGGGTATTAAGGAGGGCATGGATTGCATGGAGTACTGGGTATGGTGCATAAACAGTGAATCTTGTAACACTGAAAAAATTAAATTAAATTAAAAAAAAAAAAAGAATCCAGGCTAGCTAGCCCATGAAGAGCCACATAACCCGTGCTATAGTTGAGGCAGAGCCAACATCATGGGATCCTGTTTCTCTTGGAAAGTATACTCAGAGGTCTAATTTGGGAACATTACTGCTCATCTCTTTCCCCTTTCATTTATTCCAGAAATATTTATTGAATTTCTGTTATGTGCCGGTTACTATGTTACACTCTGCTGACATCACAGCGTGAGACAGACCTAATTCCTGCCCTCATGGAGTTTACAGTCTAGATGAGAAAATAAACAATGAACGAGTAATGCTAAATTGTGATAAGTGAGGTGAAGTAGAAGGCTACGTAGTACAGAGGCATCAAATAGGTAAGAGCTTACCTAGTTTGAAGGGTCAGAAAATTCATGTCTTAAAGAAAGTGGTGTTTGCATTGAGCTCCTAAGAATGAGCAGAATCTAGTTAGACAAAATGGGTTGGTCATGGGAGTCCAGTGAGTGTAATGAAAGTGCTTGGAGGAAGGGGAGAAAGCAGAGAGCACTAAGGGAACGAAACATGAGAGAAGATAGTTGAAGAAGTTTCTGGTGATAACTAAGGAAAATAGGAAAGAGACGGAGATAATCTTGAGGCTCTTAGGAGGATGATAGACCCTTGGTTCTCCTGGAATCCTACCTTCTAGCAGGGAGCTGTGTGGAGATAATTGCTCCTTATCCATGAGGCCCACAGCAGTGGGTGGTGGTGGCTTGGCTTAGCTTCCTATAGGATATGGCCCTGGGGAGGGTTACGGCCTGAGGAAGCTGGTAGGCAAGGGCTGGGGTCAGCCCCAGTAATGGAATCACTCCCACGCAGCCAGTACCAGGAGCTGGCACGCCTCCATCCTTGTTGCTGTCTCACGCACAGTTCTGGGGACAGACCCAGCAACTAAGGTTGACAAAGGTCTCAAGTTCTCAAACTAGGCCATGCTCTGCTCAGTTGCTTTTATGACACCATGCTGTTTTTACGTATTAACTGCCCAACAAGTATTTGTTAAGTAAATGCAAAAGTTCATCTAATGTTCCCTAAGATACATGGACGTGTCCTCATTTATATAATCTAAGAAGGCTCTATTTTGTATCCACAAACCTATTTTCATAAATTTTAATGCAGTTTAGCTGTAACATTGTACCTTTTTACATGTAGCTTATATAATAAGACACAGTCCTGGAACCATAAGACATAATAGGAAAAGAAGATTTCTTTTTTTTTTTTTTTTAAGATTAAATGCAAGATAATAGCAAAGTAGGCATGTTGGATTTTATTAAATTCTATTTAATAGATCTACTTAATTCTATAATTAAGTTCTACAAGGCATTTACGTTGCTTTTTAGGGTATGGAAAATGTGTTTTGCTTTTAATTAAATCCTTACTACACTCAAACTCTCTATTTTATGTAGATGGAGATCTAGTCCCATTCTACCAAATGTCAGGTGGTCTTGTGCACAGAGCCCTTAAAACTTTACAGAGCCGTAAAGAATGTTGCTAAAGTAGATGGAAGAGAAGCTGAAGAACTTTCCTGCGTTTGCTGCTAACATAGCTATAAGCAATGGGATTTTTAGGTTTCTGATTTATTTATTTATTTTTTATTTTTTTAAAGATTTTATTTATTTGACAGAGAGAGACACAGCGAGAGAGGGAACACAAGCAGGGGG